ACAAGAAGCATTTAGGAATCCTAATTGTATCCTTAGTCACCTCTTGGTTTTCTAATCTCTAACACAGTGTGGCAGTTGTGGTAATAGTCCTCCTCATCATCATCATTATCCCTACGCCCAAGAGTTGATAAAAGTATCAAATGGAATTTAAATGCTTTTAAAAGTAGAACTCTTCATATAATACGATATTGTGAGTTAGCATATTATAATCTTTCTGCATCCCACTGTGTTCATTGTTTCTTATAAAATGTTTCCTTTATAAAAATGTTGAGAGGCTTGTGAATTAATGTGAACATCTGCTATCTTTGGTCCTCAGAAAGCATGTGATTTCATGTGTTATGTTTATAAATTATCCATGTGAAGAAAGCTACCAGCTTGAGTTCTTCAGTTATGACATTGATTTATCAATCCTTATTTAGTGCAAGCTATTCGTATCTTATTATCAATTAAATGTTAATGCAGTTTAATATTTCATCATTAGGAAAGTTTGAGAAATGAAAACCTTAGCAAGCCTTGTTTGGGGACTTGTCATCTTGGATGCTGCTATGACTGCTCCCACTCTAGAGCCCATCAACTATGACTCAGAAGCCTATGATGCCACCTTAGAAGACTTAGATAATTTATACAACTATGAAAACATACCCATTGATCAAGCTGAGGTAAGTAATCCCCCCATTCTTGAGAGTTTTAAAAGTACTGGATGAGACAGCTGATTTGAATTTTTCTGTTCAGAAATATTTTATTTATACATAAGTAAAGGTCTTCTGGTGTGGCACTGTGGGTTAATACGCCAGACTGCAAAGCCCTTTGAAACAGCAAGGTTGGCGTTCCAAGCTCACCAGCTGCTCCTCGGAAACACTATACAGGGTCGCTGTGGTTTGGAACTGACTCAATGCTCAATGGCACTTAACAACAACAACAACAAAGGTCTTCTATCTTACTTTCATTTTAATATTTTCTTTACTATATGTAAGTTTAATATTGGGGCAGTCTTTTGCTTTCTTACAGTTTACTTCATTTCCATATTAAACAGTTGGAGGAAAAGCAATCCTAAAAGAAAAGAATTCAAATAGTCAACAATGAACAAATTTAGGAGAAAGGTGTGAGATTAAGATAAATTAATACCAAAAAAGAATATTATGAAAAGACAGTGGTTTGAAACTCCATGGTATTGCAAGAGTGAATGTGCTTCCTTAAATGATGATCTTTCCAGCATTAATGTGGGTAGGAGCAAGTTGATCACATAAATTTGACATGACACACTCATAATTAAATGCTAAGGTTTTTACATAATGCATGAATTTTTCTGAATCAGAAAACAAATAGACCTTAAAATATTGGAATGAAATTAGACTACAACATTAACAAAAACTAATTATAAGTAAATAAAAGGAAAATTATATCACCTTTACAGGACCATAACACATTTTGGGCATCTTTCAAGTGTAAATCTTCTTAGAATAACTATTTCTGAAAGCTAAGGGTATGAAATATTTAAGCAAAGCCATGTACAAAGGGGATTTAAAAACTTATATATATATTTGTTAAGAAAATAGTAAAGATTTCCAATACTATTTGTATCTTGATAAAATTATCAAATTTTCGCAATGTTTTTAAAAGGTTCTCTCTCTCCCCCTGAGTTCCCACTCTTTCTCTCCTTTGCCTTCACTTCCTCTCTCCTCATCCTTTTTCTATGTTTAGTAATTTTTCAGATTCAATGAAAGAACACTTCTCGACTGAACATTTGATTGTGATTGCTTGCACTAAGTCTTCATTAGTTGTCATTGTCTAATTTGATTGCATGACTTTTATTAGGTTAAGGGAATTTTCTGTTGAGAATGTATGGTTATTAACACCAATCTTACTCTATGTGACCTCTGTCTCCTCAATCTAATGAATCACTGTAGAGTATAAGAACATCTTCCAGCACTTAACACATCTGTTCTGTTCTGCTCCTATTTCCATCTTTCATAAAAAAAAAAAAAAAAAAAACCCTTAGTGAATATCTGTAGTCATCTACCAAATAAAATAATTTTTGTTAACATTTATTTTGTCATTCCTCAAAAAATATTTCATACACTGTAAAAGTTTGGTGATTACCATAAGCAGATAGCCATTTTGAGTAATGTTGGGGAGTGGATGCAAGGGTCTTTGCAATCAATTCAGAAGGCCAAACATGGGATAATATTTGGAAGTAGGTTTGCCTAGGCAAAATTGTGACTTAGAAATGCTTTATCTACGGAACTCTCATAATACATTTCCCTCTATCAGATTCCTTTTCACTATTCAGAAGGCACTAAGCATTCTGACAAGATTCTAAATTTTGAATTTGAGCTACAATGCAAATTTATGTGTTTCTATATAGGGAGTCCTGGTGTGACACTGTGGGTTAATACACTGGACTTCAAAGTTCATTTGAACCGTAAGGTCGGTGGTTCATGCTCACCAGCTGCTTCTTGGAAATATTATATAGGGTTGCTATGGATCAGAATCAACTTGATGGACACTTAACAAAATATTTATATATAGGATGCTTGGTGTGGCATTTTAACCTAGACAAGCTCTAAATTCTTAACAACTAAGAGCTCCAGACAGTAATAATCATTTATTGTTGACAGAAAATCTAATAGTTATTCCTGATTTAATAGTATGTGGTGATATCTTTATCAGAAAATCTGTTTACAGAAACATTAATACGTTTTTGTTGTTTTTGTTTAGTGTTGTCTAGCTGCTAGTAGATTTGAATCACTGACCTTGTAGTTAGCAGTCCAGTGCTTATCCTGTGCCATACCAGGACTATATTGTTGTTGTTGTTAAGTGCCACCGAGTCGGTTCCAATCCATAGTGACTCTGAACAAGGTTTCCAAGGCTGTAAATCTTTACGGGAGCAGAAAGCCTCATCTTTCTCCCACAGAGCAGCTGGCAGTTTCGAACTGCTGACCTTGTGGTTCACAGCGAGATTCGTAACCACTACGCTACCAGAGCTCCTTACCAGGACTATATACCAGGACTATAAATAGAGATAAATATAAATATTGTTGTTGTTAAGTGCCAGCAAGTCTATTCTGACCCGTAGAGACCCTGTGTAGGTTTTCCAAGGAGCAGTTGGTGACCTTGAACCACCGACCTTGCAGTTCAAATGACTGCAGTCTGGCACATTAGCCCACAGAGCCACACCAGGACTCCAAATATAAATGCAGACATAAAGATATAGCCATTCCTCAGAAATCCCTATACAGTGTCACTGTGAGTTAGAACAAAATGGATGGCACTTAACAATAACAAGAAGATACAGAGAAGATCACAGGTGGTCCAGGTGGTAGAACTCTCACTTTCCATATGGGAAACTCAACCAATGTACCTCAAGTGCAGCCGCTGCCTGTCAGTAAAAGCTTGAGTGTTATTAGCACAGTTTCTAGTTCAAGACAGACTAGGAAAAAAGGCCTGGAGATCTACTTTGGGGGAAAAAAATCCAATGGACATCTTACATATCACAACAATCTTGGGCATGAGGTTGCCATGAGTCAGAGGACAAATTCACCACAGCTACAACAGCATGGCATTATGTTGCGGTCTGCCGTTGAGTTGATTCTGGTTCATAATGACCATGTAGGACAGAGTAGGAGGAGCTCTGGTAGCGTAGTGGTTACGGATCGGGCTGTGAACCGCAAGGTCAGCAGTTCGAAACTATCAGCTGTTCCGAGGGAGAAAGATGAGGCTTTCTGCTCCCGTAAAGATTTACAGCCTCGGAAACCTGCACTGGGTCACTATGAGTCGGAACCGACTCCACGGCACATAACAACAACAACAGGACAGAGAAGTGCCCATAGGCTTACATATCCTATAATGACAAAAGAATACGTTTGAAAATGTTAACTGTATACAATTAAACAATATTTGTGAGGTTTTTCCAGACGTCAAAACCGATGTTACCTACCCACCCACCATCAACCAAAAAAGAAATCCAAAAATGGAAAAGACGCGTCGCGTTGTTAAGTGCCATCAAGTCTATTCAACTCACAGAGATCCTGTGTAGGGTTTCTGAGGAGTGGCTAGGGAGTTTGAACTGCTGACCTTGTGGTTAGCAGTCCAGTGCTTATACTAGGGAATAAATAAGATGATTTGAGAAATGAAATTCAGGACTATGCCTCAGATCTTGATAAACTCTTTATAGCGATTTACAAACAAATAAAACCCACAGTGTGCGAATCTGTGTGGAGTGGCTTGAAATCAAGACAATCGATACAGTGAAGTAAATGGGTTCTAGAAAGCATGACACAAATGTTTTGTATCTAGTTGTGGAAGTCCATATTCTGGTTACGTCTGGTAAGCTTACTTACCTTTCTAAGGTAAAGCTGATTGCTCCAGATGCTAATTCCATGTGACATTTTCTTACTGATCATTGGTAATATCCTCTTATAAGTAATAGTTAATCTCAGTTTATTGGTCACAAATTATAAATGTATGAGGTTTTGTTGTTGTTAAGTGCCTTCAAGTCGGTTCTTGTAAGGTTTAGTCTTTGATTAATACTTAAAGTCTTTGACATGCTCTATCGGCAGACTTTTAAGATTCCCTTTACAAGGCCCATCTCCTAGAATACCCTTGCCTTCAAAATGGAATCAAAAGATAATGGAATTTTTTCCCAAACATTTTGAAGCCCCCTTGCATTATTCTTAAAAGCATGAATATTCTGTGGTATTATATATCCAATAAAGTAATATTGCATAGCACATTTTATTTCAAAATAGGGAAATTCTCTAGGTGGGCCTAACCTAATCTCTAGAGTCCTTTGAATTCAGGGATGAGAATGAAATATGGGATACATTAAATACAAGGAAAATTCTCTGTTCCTGGCCATGTTATGAAGAAAGCAGGGGGTCCCTAGGAACTGACATAGACTGATGTGCTAGTAAGAAAATTTTACTCTTTAAATCTTATGTAATTGCTTTTACATAAGTGCACATACAGTATACCATGTCACCAACAGAAAATAAAATAAACAAAGCCGCTGCCATCAAACGAATTCCTATTCATGGCAATTGTGTGTACTATGGAGTAGAACTGTAATCTTTATGGAAGGACATCGTCAAGGCCTGCTTCTGCAATGCTGCTGAGTGCATTCAGACTTCCCATCACTGAGTTAGTAGATGAGTGCAAACTGTCTGTGCCACTCAGGAACTGCTATGTCATCAGTACACACCAAGAAGCATTATACGGCAAAGCTCGCCAAAGTTCTTGATTATTTTTACTGCCCAAGTAGTCCAGTGGACATTTGCAATAATCCCACATAATGCTCTTTAAGAAGACAAACAGAAGAGATTTCTCAAGTCTCAAAATGGATTGCAACTTCTAAAAAAAAAACAAAAAACAAAAAACATCTTTTTCTGCTTTATGTATCTTGTGATTCATTGTGTTCTTCATTTTGAATTGCCTACACAGAAATCCTGATGCGCTGTGGGTTAATGCTCTGGGACTGCAAAGTTTGTTTAAGCTGCAAGGTCGGTGCTTCAAGCTCACCAGCCTCTCCTTGGAAACCCTAGACAGAGTTGTTATGTATGAGTCATTAACTGACTTGATGGCACTTAACAATAGCAACAACACATAGGAATCCAGAGCCTAGTTTTTGGCTCATTCTTCCCTGGTTTCATATTATTTCTCC